TAAAGTAGAGTGAAAGAATCCCAGTAGTTTGGTTATATTATTATTGGTAGAGATGATTTATGTTATTTAAATTGGGCCCAACTTTCAGAAACACTATTCTAATCCATATGTAAGTCAAACTCCCACCCCTAAGTTACTTCTCAACCTGAATTCCAAGGATTGCTCAAGGCCACCATTCGACAGAGATTCTACAGAGCTAAATTGGACCCGTAAACCAGATGTATGCCACTTTAGACCAAATGACACCCCAGGTGAAAAGTGCTTTTCTCACCTCTTCTATTTGTTCAGCTGTTGACTTCTTCATCTTCTTGGGAACAAAGAATCATAAGGTTGGAAGGGGACCTTGGAGCTCTTGTAGTCCAACCCCCTCCCCCAGGGCAAGAATCCTCAGACCATTCTGGATAAATGCTGCCAGTCTTTTCTTGAAAACTTCCAGTAATGGAGCACCCACAACTTCAAGAGGCAGGCTGTTCCATTGCTCCATAGCTCTCACAGTCAAGACATTCCTCCTTAGTTCAAGTTTAGATCTCTCAGGTAAGGCTTCCACCAGTGGTTCTTGTGCTATGGAGAATAAGTCCACCCCCTCTCCCTGTGACATCCCTTCATGTATCGTATATCTAGCTGACCTTGGCTGATTTCACAAAAGCTAAGTACAATCCAATCAGGTTAATACTTGGAAGGAGACCCTGCCTTCCTCCAAGAATTCCCAGGGCTGTAGGGTAGAATGAGCAGTGGAAAAAAAAATAAACCAGCACAGAAGGTGACAGCAGTAAATCAAAGCCATACTGGGTCCAAGAAACCTTCCAGAGATGGGTCCATCAAAAGCCAAGCTCAACTTGGAGAGTTTCCTTTTTAGGGTGGTGTAGATGGGGCTCAGAACTTGATTCTAGTCCCCATGGAGAATGGTGATCCTCAGAAGCTGAAAACATCTGAAACAGTCAAACCCATGGGCCTTGGCTGAGAAGAGTTGCCCATCCCTAAAGTTTATGGTGGCAAAACATCAGGAGTCTGGGTGCACCTTTTCTGACTAACCAATTTTTCTCAAAATTTTGCTCAAAGGCATCAGATCAAGAAACACGGTGGGTTTTTAGTACATTCTGTCTCACATGTAGCCTACATCTGCATAACCAGTCTACCTTCCCCCCTCCCCAATTTAAATCCTGCATTAGTCAACCCACTGATGCAGCTGATGCAGCTGACCAAAGCTGAAGGCTTTGAATACAATTTGTTAGTTGGAAAAGGTGCCACCAGATTCCTTCTGAATCGTTGCCATCCCTAAAGAGCTTCTCTGTGCAAGGATTCCCAAAGACTGGGATCTGTCAATCCATCATATCAAGAAGCCATCAGACTGGGAAAGCCTGCTTTAGCACCACGTGATGCTAAAATGGTGCAATGGAAGCTCCACCTGATTTTTACATGCATTAAAAAAAAAAAATCAAGAAGATGGCCATAACAGTACGATCCACACACATAAAAACCAGATGAAGCTTTGACTGCACCACTGCAGCCACCCTCTTGACTTCTTTGCCCACACTTTTCAGACCTCCCGACTGTACCACTTGGCTCTTACTATTACAGGAAGAAAATGATGGGCCCTCCCTTTAAAAATCCAAAATCCTCAATAACTGGATGATCTAAAGACATCCAGAAGCCCTTTTTGGTGAGAGCCTTTTTGTAAAATATGCTAAGCTCTCAACTGTCTGTCATGTGTTCGATAAAACAAGGTTTGGAAATTCTCTTGGTAGCTGTGACACAAGAAACAGGTAAGTCTGGCAGTGGTGCAAGTAAGGAGTCTGGAGCAACTGTGGAGGGAAGCGGGGAGAAATGTCAAGATCACCAACTGTTGCCCTGCATGCTCATCCATTTTGATCCCCACCGATTGGCTGTGGGTTGGATCTGGAGTTTTATCCTCTTTGCTTCCCATGGTTATTCATTGTTTTTGATACTGCTCTGAATTTAGATGATGATGATAATGACGATGATGGATATCGTATGCCACTCGGCATCCTTTGGAACTCGGGCAGGTGATCTGCCCTGTTAAATAAATAATTTTCAAAAGTGGATTAACAGTGGTTAAACAAGGCTAAAACTACCATTGAAAGCTTAAAAGCCAGTGTCTTTTAAAGCAGGCTGGCTGGGGAATTCTGGGAGTGGAAGTCCATGCATCTTAAAGTTGTCAAGGTTGAGAAACACTGACCTAAACAGAGAAGCTTCATCAACATTGTTCTCTGGGGGTGGGGGGAAGAATAAGGTTTCTTTTCCAATGTACACACAATGACTGACAATAGGTTCTCTGGGTTGAAACACCAAACATACGCCAGAAGCATCACAAACTATCTGGACAGCTCTCCCGATCTGCTATACAACATACCATGGTTTAAGTCAATAACCAGAGCCAAATTCAAAACCTGATTCAACCCCTTAAGGATGATGGAAGAGGAAAACATGAGCTTGGGCAATTCAGTTTTGGCAGATTTAATATTCTCTGTACCAAAGAGGGAAAAAATCCATTGTCAACTAGAATGTCAGAAAATCAGTAAGCTGACTTTGTCCATGTCGAAATCTTCCTCTATTTTTTCCCCAGAGGGCAGCATTTCAACATAACGCATTTTCTCCTGCTGGAGATTAAATTGGTCTAATTGAGAGACAGGTTGATTAGTGGGAAGTTCAGCCCGAATTTGAACTTTCCCTTCTGCTAAAGTTGTAGAATATCACAGAATCCTAGAATTGTGCCCAAAGGATTGCCTACTCCAACCCTCTGCAATGTGCAGGAAAACCAGTTCAACCATCCATGACAGGTGGCTGGCTGTCCAGCTTCTTCTTCCAAACCTCCAGAGATGGAGATCCCACAACCTCCATAGGTAAAAAAACTAGGTAACTGCAATTTATACCCATTATTTCCGGTCCTAGTTTTTGCGGCCATGGAAAATAATTCATGACCCTCTTCCCTGTAGCTTCCCTTTGTGTTCCTGAATATAGTTATCGTGTCTCTCCTCAATCTTCATTTCTCCAGACTGAACATCCCAAGGTCCTTCAGCCGGTCTTCACCTGGCAGTTCCCGTGTCCCTGATCCTCTTTGTCACCATCCTCTGAACTTATTCTAACCTGCCAAGATCCTTCTGAAAATGTGACATCCAGAATCATACACGAGACGTGAGGTGTGGTCTTTTATTTATGTAGTTGGACACCACTTCAAACAAGTTGCTCTATCTTCATGCCCTTAAGACTGATCAAACCCTGTGAAAACTGTTAAGGAAAGTCATCTTTGACCCAGATGTGACACCTGAGAACTTCAGGGACACACCCATAGAGTTTTCTTAGCAATAATACAGGAGTGGTTTGCTACGATTATTTTTTGGAATGGTTTGCAATTTCCTAACCTACGGTAGAATGCTGCCATTTTCTGGTGGTATAACAACTAAACCAAGTCTGACCCTGCTTAATTTTCTAGATCAGGCATAGATGGTTAGATGCTCATTCATATATTAACTCAGATTTAGTGGAATATAAACACATATCCTTCTTGCTCAGTGTGGCTGCTGAACCAGAGGAATTGAATGCCAGCATAGAACTAATCACCTGTTCACATGTTGGATTCATCCCCAAGATGATATATTTGGTTTTGGCTTTGTGCTATGTGTACCAGGATTTAAGGCTTAGTGCCATGTTGTGAATCCAGTTTGGGTCTTCCTCCTCCCTCTTAAGGATTTTATTTTTAATGAGAAGCCTGTAGCATCACCAATTCATCATGGTGTCAAAGCCAACATTGCTCCAATGCAACCCGGAAGGGCCAGTTGTGTTCCTTCTGAAAAGGGGAAAGGAAGAACTAGAGATGATGCCTCTGTTGGGTCTGGGCTCTGACATAGGGTAGGGTGGAAGTAGTTCTGGGATGCTGAACTTTCTGAGGAGGGGTTGATCAGGTAAAATCCCATCTGGGACAGGGAAATCAATCTTAGAATGTCAAGTATTATATTGGGGGGAGAGCATGGGAGAGACAAGGGAGGGGAAACTTTTCATGGGAAAAGAGCCTGCCTGAACTCTGTCTCTCTCCCCAGATAGACCAACATGCAGCGTGTGTTTTAACCAACTAGCAGCTCAGTGACATCCTGCCTCTCCCTGGATGTTTGAGAGACAATCCTTAGATGCCTCTCGCTCCTGCCCCAGAGATCAAACACAAGAAAGCAAGCTATCAAGGGCAACCTTTGTGTGGAACAGCAGCAGTCGCCTCCCCTGGAGAGGC